TAGGTGGCTTGTGTTGCCTCCCATTTAATTCTTATTTCACAAAATCTGCATTGGGCCACAGGTAATGGAAAGCACTCCACATGGGGTGTTCCACAAGACCCATTAGAAGCATCCTCATTATTAAACTTATTCTGTTTCCTTATCAAGACCATACCATTCTGTGGATTATCATGGAAAAAACTGGCACCAGGGAAATGACTACCCACTTTTATGGTTCATGCTTGCCAGCTTTTCAAAATAGTGTTTTGTGGTCACAAATTGCACTGTCTCCAATAATAGATCTTTCAGGCAGGTGTCTGATGGGGATCTAGGCACTTATCCAGGTCTCTAATGCAAATTAACCTCCCCTTCTGCAAGTGAAGCATGGAAAACCATTTAACAGTTCCTAATTGATAGGGTGGTGGACCTTAGAAACTTCCTCACGGATTGTGTACAGCACAATATGGTGGGAAGTAGGGCAGTGGTGGCACTGTCTGTGTAATGCAGATCAAATCTCAAACAGCTAGTGTGCCCTCCTTCTGCAGCAAGATCTGACCATGCCCTAACCACACTACACTTCTTGGGTTGCTGAACACTTTTGTGTAGGTGCTCTGTTAGCCATGCAAAAGTTCCACCCATCCCTGCAACACTTGGGGCTCTTTTGTCTTTTTCTCTATTCCTTCCATGAGTTTTCCCTTCTGGCACTTTCTGAAAGGAGCTCCTCTATGTTTAATGTTTGTACCAGCCCCTTCACCATTTTGTGTGTGTAGGTGAGGTATCATCTTGGAAGTTAACATTTTTCTTACCTGAATATGTATTTCTAATTGATACTCATCTCTTCTTGCCTTATGTAAATATGAAGTTATTTCAAGCACAAAGAGGCTGTGTTACCCTCCTGTTGGTGGAGGACTATTGTTGCATGATGATGTTATCATGCACTAGTGCAGTTCATGTTAAACACGAGATTTTTAGGTGGGTGTTAACTCAAGGCTATTGGCATGCAACTTTCAGTGGCAGATGTACGAGGGATTCTGTGTGAAGAGGTGAGTATATATATCAGAAATACATTTTCAGGTAAGGGAAATGTTAGATTTCAAATCTAAAATTCTTAAAAAGTGCTTCATGATTGTACTTGTAATCACCATATCTTGTCATAGATGATACACAAGACAACAAATAAAATTATTAAGAATAATTATTGTTGAAATTTAGATAGCTATTACCATACAAGAAAACACACACAAGCTGAACACACACTGAAATATAAATGTTTTATTGACCCAAGTTATATATACAACATTCATAATGCAGGCAACAGTATGAGAGTGGTATTATGCAGTATTAACAATATAAGTGTGAATCTTTATTTGGCTGGTATGGTTATGTCTTTTTATGTATTCTCAGCAATCAATCAGTTACAAATTGACTTGTCCTATTGCCAGTTTGAATTTGGTTACATGCTAAAAAAGATTTTAGTTCCAGCCAAAGCACAGAACTTGGAAAAAAGATACAAGGATTAGTCACTTTCTATTAAACTGAAATTGGGAAAATTTGAAGTATAATTTCATAGATTTTGTTTTAGCTTGAATATTTTTTTTTTATAGCTCAAATGTTACAAATATTAGTAGAACATTTTGTACAACTGTTACCATTTTTTTTTATAAGATTTGATAAAATGTTAGTTATTTAATTTTGTGGAGTTAAAATTCTGTTAAAATCAGTGAATTATGTCTTTCAAAATGACAATTTGATTTTGGAAAGTCCTGAAATATTTTTAATTAGCTGGTGCAAACCATATGACCACCACTACAGTAAATGCAGGAGCATTATCAGCAGGATATATCTGCAGCTGCTCTAGCTAGCTTAAACTAGTGGACCCTGAGTTAAATGTGACGAGCAAAGCAGCAGTTTGCACAAAGGTTTGGTGCCTGGTTTAGATAACATCATGTAGAATGTGCCTGTAATGATACATGGATGTGAGGTTGAGTTTTTAATGTAGGAGCAGCCAGGATCTTAAACTAGTGGACCCTGAGTTAAATGTGACGAGCAAAGCAGCAGTTTGCACAAAGGTTTGGTGCCTGGTTTAGATAACATCTTGTAGAATGTGCCTGTAATGGTGCATGGATGTGAGGTTGAGTTTTTAATATAGGAGCAGCCAGGATCTTAAACTAGTGGACCCTGAGTTAAATGTGACAAGCAAAGCAGCAGTTTGCACAAAGGTTTGGTGCCTGGTTTAGATAACATCTTGTAGAATGTGCCTGTAATGATGCATGGATGTGAGGTTGAGTTTTTAATGTAGGAACAGCCAGGATCTTAAACTAGTGGACCCTGAGTTAAATGTGATGAGCAAAGCAGCAGTTTGCACAAAGGTTTGGTGCCTGGTTTAGATAACATCATGTAGAATGTGCCTGTAATGATACATGGATGTGAGGTTGAGTTTTTAATGTAGGAGCAGCCAGGATCTTCATTGAACTTTCTGTGTATCATGCATTCCAAGAGAAGCCACCATTTCAACTAATTAACAACATTAATTAACACTAATTAAAGTCTAGTTGAGGATTGGGCTTAACTTGCAATGGAGATATGATCTCAGTGAACTGCTAAGGGAGTTTGTTAATATGACCAGATGGCCAATTTGTTTGGATAATAGTACACTTTATTACATAGATACAGGTAATACATCTGACAAAACAAATTACTTCTTGGAATCTTAACTGTGCAAAAATGAAGTGGATGTTTGAGGACAACCTTCAGTGAATGCTTGATCTTTTCCATGAATAGGTACAGTGATGTGCTTCAATGCCTGTAATTTTTTTTAAAATACATACAATTGGCTTGATGCAGGGAGGCTGCCCTAGAAATTTGAACAGAACAATGAAAGTAAACTTAATAAGACTGCATTCTCCTCTTAGGAAAGCCTGTATGAATTCTGCATCATGCCATTCAATCCATGTAACACACCTGCCACTTTTGAGAAAGTGATGAAGCTTACATTTAGAGGTTTACAATGGGAGACATCTATGGAAATTATTTATTATATCTTAGTCAATCATTTCAAACTTGCTGTATTTCATTGCATCAAGAGGCATGCTTGAAAATGAAGCCATGAAAGTATATTAGTACACATAGAAACAGAGTTTCTCATTCACAGATTAGATAGCAGTGGCGTGTACATTAACCCTGCAAAACTTACAGTGCCTAAAAACTGTATAGTCACAGCTTGAAATCAGCAAGAAGTTGGCAACTTTTTAGATTTTGTATCATATTATCATTGATTTGTAGCCAACATTAATTAAGGTCAGTATGCTTTGTGTGTGAATGAATGTAGACATGCATTCCAATCCTCGAAGCATATTTTAGTTAAAGCATTGTTGTTGGCTTATCCTCAACAGTCTCTCCATTCATCATAGATTGTAATACCAGTAATAGTAGAATTAGAGCATATTTATCACAAGAGAGTATGGAGCATTTAATCGTGTATGCAAGTTATGTACTAAGAGCTTCAGAATACCAACACTGTAAAAGGTACCTGATGATGACAAAACCTTGTCGAAACGTTGTACATTTGCTGTTATGTTAAACTTATATTAAAGTTTTTCTTCATTACCCATTCAAGCCGTCTCCAGCCATTATTAGTCTCAAAGTGGGTTCCTCGTCATCGAATTTTTGAGTTAATCCATATTATGTTTGGATTAAATCCAGTTTACTTGTACATTAGATAAAATTCATACCCAGTTTGTTTGCTGTTTTGTATAAAATTAATTAATTATCGATTGCATTTTTAACTGCAGTTTCCTTGTTTAATTCACTTGCATTTTGTGATTGTGATTTTAGCCAGTGTAAGTTTGAATTGAAATTATGCAAGTTTGTTATTTACTTCAATTTTACAAAGATGGTGTTATGTTCAGTATCATTTTGCTCAGTATTTTACCATTTTGTTTAGTTCTGTGTTAATTTTGATTATGTTCAATTCATTAAATTTTATTTTTGATTAATATCGGATATGGATTATTTTATATCATTGTTTTTGTCATGTCTGGGGTGTTTTGACTTTTTATGTAATTGCTCTCTTTAATTTGACTTTGTTGGGTTCAGTTTGCATTTTTCAGTTTATTTTGTACTTTGCTCAATTTTGTTTTAATTTTGTACCTAATTTCATTCAGTTGTATACTGTTAGCCTGATATCAGCCACTATGTTAAAAAATTGACAAGATATGTAAGGAAATGAAAAGTGAAATACAACTTGTCCTTTTGAATTTTCTCATTAAAGTTTCAATAAGTCAGGATATACTGATAAAATATATTGATAACAAGTCAAAAATAGATAGTTTTTTCTTAAGTTTGTATAAATATATAAGAAACTATTTTTACTTACTGGAAAGGATCAAAGGAGGGATTATGGGGAAGGAAGGATTATCTTATGGGGATTATTTATTTAACTTATTTTCTCTTGCAAAAAAAAGGATGATTTTATTGAAAAAACTTACAAGATTACCTGAGGAATGATAGGATGAATACTTCTGATTTCTTTGTGCATTATTTTGAAAACAGTAGAAAGAGAGGACACAAGTTTAATATCTGCAAAAAGCTAGGCTAAGATTAAGACACATTAAATTATGGAAGAAGTTTCATAGTGGAAGCCAGTATCTTAGGAGTGTAAGAAAACAGTAGATTTTTATTTTCAGAGGTGGGTGTGCGGGGGTAACATTGAAAGATCAAATTCAAATGTTTTTGTTTTGTTTTTTGTGGTCCCTAATGCTAAGTAACAGTTTTTCTGTACATGCTGATAAACTAGGTCACTGTCTTGTATTCATGGATATCAAATATTATATTGCATATATATTCTGAATTCAGCTTAAATTAAGTCATTATTTAGTTGTTGACTAAAACATGTATGTGGTAGGAACCAAAGGTTCTTCACTAGGAACTTGAACATGTAGTCTTTGAATATCTTATTAATGGAGTTATTTATATAGAAATAATATTTCAAATGTGAATTGATTTTTTTTAATGCTTGTTAGCCCATCCAAAGTTTGTTCAAGGTTTGAAAGATGTAGAAGGTATAGAAGAAAAAGAAGTTTTGCTTACAGTGAAGGTGGCAGGTGAACCTAAACCAAAGATTACATGGTAAGGGAAAAAAAAAGTACCATGATGCAGAAGAAAAAAAATTAATAAATTAATTATTTATTATTAATCATTTTTATTAGTGTATTTTAAAAATATACTTCTGTCAGATGTGGCTGTGGAAAATATGTTTTATCACTTTGTCCTGCCTGTCTGTATTTTTATCTTTTTCCAGATGTTGTTGTATAGAAGTAAGTAAAAGTTAACTTTAATATGCAGGATAAAAGATGGAACAGAGCTTACAATTGATGGAAAATGCAGGAAGGTAAAAGAAGATGTATCAGATTCATTTACCCTGGTATTGAATAGGGTAACTAAAGAAGATGTTGGAGAGTATAGGTGTAGGATCACAAACAAGTGTGGTGAAGAATCTACCAGCTGCAAGCTAACTGTTAAAGGTACATCATCCATAAGGTTTAAAGAACTTGTTTATATAAATCAATGGATTTTTCCAACATTCAGGATAGAAGTGCAAAATATTACCATGATGTAAATATTGTGAAAAGGATTAGATGCATGTAAAGTTTATGTGTAATAAAGCCTTAACACTGTACAATAAGTTTTGCTGCTTTACTTTGATGATGCTCTGTGAGAACATATTCTAAATTGCTTTTAAAGATGCATTTGAGCAGACTATTCTGAATTCTGATATGATACCTTACTTCTTCTCACATAATGATTTGTGCTGCCCTCTATATGCACAATTTGCATTCACCACTAGCCTCACCTACAGTCATGTGGAATAGTTGCACTGTAGCATACAAATGACAACCCTCTACCAATAGGACACACCTTCTAGTGCAGCTGACTCTCTCTATACTGTAGACTGTACAGTACTATCATCACTTCAAGATTAGGCATTCATAAGTGCAGTTGTAGAAACTTTTTGCTCAGTACATTGTGTTTTTGTGTTAAATTTGAATTTTGGCTACCTTTTTTTTTTTGACAAGTTCAAGTTTGTTGTCATTTATTTTCTCGTGGAATGTTTTTCTTTATTTTTCTAAATGATGACCTCTCAATTTTATGTAATAACTATGATTTCTGGTATGGATCCTGCCACACTTAAAACTACTGTGGCAGTTGGTGAAGGAAGTTTTGGCTTTGGGAGTCTTATGTGCGGCCTGTTACATCTCCTGAACTGTAGTTGGACCTCCCATCTCTTGGGAAATCTATTCCTGAGGATGAAGACTTGGACAACCTTTTTCCACCTCTTGCTTTTGTGGCTCCTTCCTATTCTACTCTATTGGACCCCCCTTTTCCTTTCTCAGCCTTCCTGGACATGATCTCTTAGCTTTGTTGTCTTTTGTCTCATTCCTCTGTTTTATATTATTCTTTCCCCTCCCTTCTTCATTCTGGGCTGACATCTATTAATTTGTTTCCCCCCTCCTCAGATATTTGTGTACATGCTGAACAATTCCTAACCCAACTGCATATGGGTGCCAGCATGCCTAAACCCCACATTTGGCAGACTCACATGCTTTAGCTTGCCATAGGTCAGAGTTTCTGTTTCTTGATTCTCAGACTTTGAAATAACTGATTCAGTTATGAGGCTCTGATCCTTCCACTACTCTGTTTTCCCTGACCAGTTCTCTCATCTTCATCTTAATCTTATGACTATTCTACGTTATCATTTACTTATTCACTTACTTTCTGAAACTATCCACAGTTCCTCTGAAGGTTTCTTGGTGGACATGCATGCCCTTCTTTTCTCTATGTTGGCACATTTATCTTCATGAGCTTTGTTCCTCCTTACATGGTTGCTTTGTTGTTGGGGTCTCCTTGGCAGGGATGCCCTTTTTTTTTTACATATGCATTTGCATATTTCTTATCTGCATGACTATTGCCTGGCTCTTTTCTTGTGCCAGTCTGTTCTTCGAGATGCCCCTGATTCTTTAGAGACTCAAGTGGAGGCTGCATGTCAACATTCCTCTATTTCCAATCTTGTTTTTTCGCCTTTCCCAATCCTCCCCTGTTCCTATTCCTATGACTTGCCCTCCAGCATCTGTCTCTTACCTGTTTCAGCTACGAGTCATCAGATCGCCTTTTCAGATGTCAGAATCGTTGCTGACTGCCCCTTTGGCCAGGGTTTGCTCATCTGTGATTCTTGTGTTCTATCAACTACTAGCAGAAGGACTGTTTCTTCATTTTTCCACTTCTCCTTCATTATCTTCAATCCTCATTTCTTTCCCTCCTCTTCAAGATCCAATTTTTTTTCCAGAAGCAGTTTTGGACCTCATGAAAAAGAACACTATTGAACAGATGTTTCTCCCTTCTCTAGAATTTTATTTCCATCTGTTTATTGTCCCCAAGATAACAGATGATAGGCACTCTGTTATTGATCTCTCAAATCTCAACTGCTTTCTCTCATATTTCACCATGGAGTCTTTTCTCTAACCTCAGATAGTTGTTCACTCCAGGTTGTTGGATGACCAAGGTCAACATCTTGAATGCTTACTTTCATATCCCTATTTCTCCTGCATCCCAATATTACCTTAGGTTTGTTTATATTGTACAAGAATTTTAATTCCTCACTGTACCATTTGATCTGGCATTGGCTCCGTATGTCTTCTATCATGTAGCCAGAGCCTTTGCCTGTGATCTTCATAACATGGGACTACAGTTTCACCATTACATGGATGACTGGTTCCCAGCGAGCCTCTCACAACTGTACCCATCTTCTTCTGCTTCTTCAGGAGGTGGCTTGTCAAACAGGAAAAGTCATATCTCATCCCCATTCAGTATCTTCTTCATCTAGTGGTGTTTTTCAACTCCAACCTCAGCAGAGCCCAGCCTTTTCCTCTATGTTTGAGGGATATGGAGCACTTGGTATCCATAGCTAGGACTTCTCGTTCTTTTCCTGCATAGGAGGTTCTCTCTCTCTCTTTTGGACACCTGGGTTTCCATGGATTGTTTCATCCTATGGGGTTGTGCATATATGTGTTGTCTTCAATTTGTGTTGTGCAATCAATGGAACCTTGCTCAGGATCCCTCGGACTACTCCATTTTTCTTCCTTCTACCCTCCAAGTCGACTTTGCCTGGTGGCTTGATGGAGACCTTGGCTGGTTTTTCTTTCCCTCCTCCTTGTCTTCATCTTCATATCTTTACAGATGCATCTCTGGATTCTCAGTAGATAGTTGGTCATTGGTTGGTAGTTGATTCTACCCAACACATTAACCTTTTGGAGCTCCTGGCTGTTCATTGGGTATTGGATCATATCCTGCTTGTGGTACAGGGGTTCCTGGTCATGATCCATTCTGAAATTCTACTGTTGTCTCATATTATATCATTCGTCAAGGGGGCACTTGGTCTCATTCGCATTGTTTTCAAACACTGGATATCCTTTTGTGGGCCCATTCTCAACAAGTCTGACTTCATGCTTGTCACATCCTGTGTGTGTTCTGAATCTTGTAGCAGAATGGCTCTATCCTCCTGACAAGGTTCTACAAACGGAGTGGTCTCTTGCTCCTGAGGTGTTCTGGTCGTTATGCTCCCAGTTGGGTACCCCTTTCTGGATGTCTTTGACACCCAATTCAATACCAAACCCCCCTTTTCTGAATCCTTCAGCTCTTACTGTAGATGCAGTCAGTCAGGACTGGTGCAACCTTTACCTCTATGCCTCTCCTCCTATCCATCTTCTTCCCCACATTGTCTCTCTTATTCAAACCACTCAGTGTTGAGTCCTTCTCATTGTTCTATTCTGGTCAGCACAACCATGATTTCCACTCTTGCACCTCCTCCAATCATCTCCTCCCATGCCACTTTCCAATTTCTTCTCCGGGAACCTCATTCTTCCATTGTTCTTCCTGCCATAGCCACACTCAATCTTTATTTGTTGGTTTTGTCTGGTCCCATGCAAGGTGATCTGGACTCTCATTTCTCATTCTGTACACTCTTCTTCTTTGCTGGTTTATCAACATAAACAGTGAGTTTTTCATCACAGGTCTTTGCATCACAGTTACTCACCTTCCCATCCAAATGTTTCCCAACTTTTTGACTTTCTTACTTGGCTCCTTGACAATGTTTTTTTATCCATTTCTATCATTGTGGGCTATATTATGGCATTATCCATTATTTTTCATTTTTCCCACTTCTACCATATTGTTTCCTCTCCTGTCCTTTCTCTCCTGTTTCGTTCCTTTTGCTTTTTGAATTATATGAGAAGAGGTAATGTATCATATCAGAAGTTAACATTTTCCTACACTGGAAATGTATTTCTGGTAGATACTCAACTTATTTCACACTTCCCACCCATGCTTCCCACGTCTGGTGCATAATCTTGAAGTGATGATAGTGCTCTATATTATAAAGGAAGACAGCTGTGCTAGGAGGGTGTGCCACATTCCTATTAATAGAGGGTTATTGCATGATACAGTGCAGCTTATACCATGTGTAAACACGTGAGGGTAGGTGGGAGCATCAAGGCTAGTGATGAGTGAAAATTGCACATATAGATGGCAGCACAAATCAAAAATATATTATGTCACAGGAGGTAAGTATCTATCAAAAATGCATTGTCAGTGTAGGAAAATGTTGATTTTTGTTCTATCCTGATCAGTGTTCTGTTGTAGCATAAATACTCAGGTGTGCACATAAAACTGAGAGATTTGTGTGTTACGTATTAATTGTAGCGTTTCACCTGTATGAGTCATAAAATTTTGATCATGTTTTTAAATTTATTTTATCTATGAGACTTAGTCTAATTTCCAGCTTATATCAGAGTTGTAGTGCATCAAACAATTTATGAATAACATTGTGTTTGTAGAAAAAATATACCTGATTTATACCATTGCTAGTAGATATCCATAAAGAATACCCTTTTACGTTTTTGACAATTTTAAAGTAGATCCATGCAGCCAATCTTGAAACCCCCATGATCCCTTATTAGGGTCTTTAATATATGATTTTTGAAAATCTGAATACAGATACTTATGTTAAACACACTGAGGTTGGGCATGGTGTAGTAATTAGTGTGCCGGACTGTGAAACCAAGAGTCCTTGGTTTGAATCCCATTGCTGCAGAATTGTGCACTGCACCTTGGGACAATGGATGCATTATAAGAGTGATGGTTAAATTCCACTTTTAGATTAGAGCAGCCCATTAATTGGCAGTGGATGCTGTTGAATAGCTCTAGTCTGTCAGTTCCAAATTAGGGATTGCTAGTGGAGATAGCCATTGTGTAGCTTTGTGGAAATATTTGAAACAAACACTTAAAGAAACTCTTACATATCCATATCAATTGTCTTGAAGATCAATAGAGCCAATCCTGAGAGACTCTAAAACCCCTTTTGTTTGCTGTAAAGGTGCTAAAATCTGAATTTAGATTATTGTTTTGAATGGCTCCTTACATGTTAATACCGATTTCTGCAGTTCAGTGAATTATGAGAACCCCAAAACCTCCTTCACTTCACACCCATGTTTTTCTTGTTTATATTCTGTGAACATGCATGCAAGATTTTGAGTAAACATTAAACATAGATACATGCATAAATAGGCACAATTGAAAATTACTCAAGATATATTAATAACTCTGTTATGTTTATTTTACATGTTTTGTTTCTAGCCAAACCAAAATTTATACGTCAGCTATCAGACAAAGAATCGAAGGAAGGAGACGTTGATGTAGAATTTACTTGTCAGCTTGATTCTGATCCCATTCCAAAAATCAAATGGTATGGTTTTAAAAAAGTTATTAATTGTGAAGAAAATCATATCAGTAATTTCTTTTTAATTTCTAAAGTTTATGTTATTGTGAACTACTAATTACTGAAAAAATGAAAATTTTAAATCAAATGTATCAAAGAGAGTAGTAATTTTTGCCATATACATACTAATATTAGGGGTGGATTCACAATAATTGGATGATGAGGGCCAAGAATGGGTATATGAAAATGTACCTTTTGTTTCTTGGCATGTTAGGATACATACTGAGGTAATGAATGTTTTATACTATATTCAAGTACTTGTTTTTCCTTAAGTGCAAGTAAGATCTCAGATTCATACAAAATCTGAATTGCAAATATCGTTTATAAGATATGGCTGGCTCTTATTTATAAGATATCATTGGTTCTTCTTTCAATGAAAGGACAACAGGGTGAGATGTGACTAGCCTTAGGTTGATCTTAGTTAGAATGTAACCCTTCTTAATGTTGATATGGATTGTCACAGGAAATAATAACAACGAACAAAGACCTTTTATGATAAAAAAACAGCATTCACTGAAACCAAAATTTCCATTGCTTTCAATGGCTTGTTGGTAACCGACTACTTCTTTGAACAGTGTTTTTGGAAATCAACTTCTTTGAGATCATTCAATGTTCAGGCAAGTCTCTCTCATACATAGATCTACATTGAGATATTCACCAATCATGAAATGATTTTATAATAGACACATCCCTTGAAGAATGGAAATTTGCTCATGCTATGACTCACTATACAGAGCTTCCAGTTGTATTTATAAGTCTGGTTGCACTTTTAAAGTTTTAACCAAACTTCTATTTCTTTTCTTTGCTTTATGATGAAAGATATGACTCTGTTTATTCTGTTGTAGGACTGCAACAACATGACTGTTGGAGACTACAGATGATATAATATTTGCAATGTAATATAGTAAATTGAAATAGCTACTTCCAGTCACACAATAAACACAATTGTCTTTTTTTAATTAGGCATTAATTTAAAATGAAACAGTATCAGTTTTGCTCTCAAATAAACTCAAAGAATCGTATTAAATCAAAATGTTCATTTGCTTTAGCAAACAATTGAGAGTTATTATTTGAAACAATTTTCCAAGGATAACATGACAACTAAGAGAATTTTGTAAAAGATAATGACAGATTTGTTGAAATTTTATCCATCTGGTCTCACAGAGTGGTTTCAGTCATTATGTTTTCTTTTCTGTAAAGATCTCAGGTAATGTTTCAAAAAGTGGTCCTGCTTTGAACTCATACAAGAGAGCATCCATCAGAAATCATACTAAGCTTGTGTATTTTTGTGTTGAATATAATGAGGTTTGAGGGAAGCAAGTTTATGTGATTAGCATAAATGTGTGTGAAATGCAAGATACTGCTTTTCTTGAATTAGAGCTTAAACTTCATGGTACATATTGGCACCTCCATTGTAATATTGATTTCTAAATGATACTATAGCAAATTTGAAATTTAAAAAGCATCAACACTGGCAAAAGATAGAGAGTATTATATCGACATCTTATCTTACATTTAGGGTTAACTGTTGATATGTCAGTAAAACTTTTGTTACAACTTTAAAAATACTGTAAAATCTTCATTTTTCACCTTCTACATTTTATTTTGTAGGATAATATCTTCACAACATTAAATTATATTGCTTTGGATAACATTCTATAGAAGTTTTTTTTAAAAGTTATTTTCAGACCCTTGATCACTCTGTATCATTATGGTCACTTGGACCTACATTTATAGCATCTTCTTTTGGTCACCCTAGTTCTATCCCATGTTTATAATGCTTTTGTGCTGCAAAATTTTGTCAGCTACAAAATATGGTTTTCACAATAGTGACATTGGGGATTTTGATGAACTGTATTTTTTAATTTGTCATTATTTTAAACTGAAACAGTATCTTTGTTACTCTCAGATACTTTTTTAGTAGTTCTCATAAGTCATATAGTATCCTATATGATCACCATAGTGATATTAATAAATAACTTTTTTATATTGTTATCGGTTATATGTTAGATACTAATTACAAATTAGTTTTTATCCTACATTTTGGCGTTTAATCTGCTACCATTTCAAGGAAATCTTGAGAAAGATTATTTTAAATATTTTTAGGATTATTTATAATAGCCAGGATTCAATCCCCACTATTACTGATGGAAGTTTGGTATGTTCTCTCCTCTGATTTTAAGTGACAGTATTTCCCTGTATTCATGTTTTTCTTCAATGCTGATGCACAAATACCATTCATAGTCATCTTCTCGTAGGCCTAGGTAATTTGTTATTGTCAGGTGAAACATTAGTTAGCTGATTGAGTTTATGATATTGCATGTCTTGTCTTGCATTTGTCCACATTTGTTATCGGATTTTCTAATCATTTCACTGTCCATTAAAGTTGAGTTCTTAGGCACAGATGTCTTCAACAGTTTGATGGTTTTTGTCAGACAGAAACGTAAGTATATTCATCTCAGTAATGTTACACATGGGTTTTAGAAACAAAAGCAAAAAAAGTATGTAAGTCTTGGACTGGTCTGTTGATTAGGTATGACTGCCTTGGACAAGATCACTAATTATCTTCTTGTATGTAAGTCTTGGACTGGTCTGTTGATTAGGTATGACTGCCTTGGACAAGATCACTAATTATCTTCTTGTATGTAAGTCTTGGACTGGTCTGTTGATTAGGTATGACTGCCTTGGACAAGATCACTAATTATCTTCTTGGTTGCTACGTGGTATGCTCACACACCATGTGTACCAGTGTGTTATATGGACATACATAAACTTTCCATTAATAGTTCTCACACTGACAGGCCTATTTCAAAGTGAAATACATATTTAACCAACTTATTAGCTGCTGAATATATTCGTTTTCACTTGTTAAATTTTTAGGACTTTTTGTAGCATTATGTGACAATGTAGTATGCAAGTCCTACATATCTGACTCGCCCATACTATATTTTTCATCTGTATTTTCTATATCTATATTTTCTGGGTTGTGACTTGGAATATCTTAAATCAGATCAAGGTGTTACTTTCTGTAACAGCAACTGATCATGGAAACTGTCCACTGTTTTATAGGATAATTGCATTGTATTCTTCTTCATGTTCTGTGTAGAGGACCATCTTTCAGCTGTTACACGACCACTTCAGTACCTGTTTTCTGATTGATCAGCGGGTAGGTGAATTGTGAATACAGTTTTAACAGTTTTGAGCTACATTTCTTTCTGTCTTTATAGTGAGAAGATTTGCTTTTTTTTTGTCTGGAAAGAACCAAGACTTGCTGTGGAAGTTTCATCTTTGTTTAAAATTCTTCAGTCTACTAATCATATCTGTTTTGATTTGATTTTTATTTTGAAATGTCTTTATTAATTATATTCAGCTTAGTACATTTGTTGATTTACTTTATATAATTTTCACTTTAGTTTTACTATTGGATGATTGACCAGCTCATATTTTGAGTTCTTTTAGATAAAATTAAAAGTGTTTTCTTTTCATTTTAACTTCAATACCATGTTTTGTTTTTTTTTATTTCACTGCTACAAATCACTACAGATGTCTCCCACGTATTAGTTCTTCAGATCTTTAGTTGTTGTGGAGAACAGGTAACTGTTTGCTAAATTTGTTCTTGAAATTACAACAATAGCGCAAGAAAAAATGAAATTCAAAAATGCAAAGGAGAGCAGTACTCTTCCAATGCTTGATCCACCACTGATGATCATTCTTGTAAGGTTTATGTCACATTTTAGGGACCATATATCAACATGGCTGATATTAATATGGCAATTTCTGGTAGAATGTTCATTACCATTTGTTTGCTTATCTTTTATTGTGACATTTATTAAGCTGACTAATGGTGATTAGGATCGCTAAGCCTAACACATAAAGATTTTATAGTATCATTAGGTTAAGCCTCTTTTATATAGGTTAGGTTATTTCAGCTCTCGTGAAATTTCAACTGAATAGCTAGTTATGGAATAGTAACTAATTTTTCGTTTTTAAAGTTACATAGGCAATTTCATATAGAAATATTAAAGACATTCATCTTATATTTGTTGTTTTCCAGGATGTTCAATGATAAAGAAGTTGTGGACTGTGAAAAATACAACATTGTGTGTGATGAGGCTTCAGGTACATATACACTGAAAGTCAAGAAGGCTAGTGCTGAAACAGAAGGGGTATATTCTTGTGAAGCTTCAAACAAAATTGGGAAAGTCAGAAGTTGTGGTGTGCTCTCTGTTAATGGTTAGTGAAATTTTCTTATGTTAGATTTTCTCTGAAAAACTTTTCTTAAAAGGTTTATTTTTGTTGTTCGATGATTTGAAAAGTATTTTTATTAATATTCTTGACTAATTTTGACATGATATGTCTGGTGGTGACAGTGGATATTTCATTAATGTTTAATTTTTATAGTTACAATAGGGGTGAAAGTTTGTGGGATTTTTTATTATGTTGTGTCTTATATTAGTCTACACTAGTAGGTCATTTTCAAACAATCAATGAAGCATGTTGAACTTTCATAGATCCCTTGG